ATAAAAACATACGAAAAAACACTGCAAAGTTGCTGTTTTAACCCTTTGAGGGTCGCCAGGCCCTCTCAGAGACTTGTTCTCAGGGTCACCAAAAATTAAAAAAAAAAAAATTAGTGTTTCATATGAAAAGATAGAGAATCTTTTCCCAATCATAATGATACCAAAAGTATGAAATTTGATGGAAAACTTACGGAATTATGCTCTCGCAAAGTTAGCTGTCTCGACGATGTTTATGCATCGGCGATTTTGCCCACGTTTGAGCCCTATTTTCGGCCAATTCCAGTGTGCTAGTTGACAAAAATCATAACTATTTCGCTAGAACTCCATTTTTTTATCGAATGAGTACAAGAAACCACCCATTTACCGATTTCAACTATCCAATAAAGTGGTCAGAATTTAGCAATTTTGCCAATTTCACACAAATTTCAAAAGATGCCAATTTTCAAATAGGGTCCAGAATAAACAAGAAAGACATTCCTGGCACTAAAATAACATTTCCTCTGTTCATTAGTCACGTCCTAGGCCCTTCATACATTTCTTTTGCTTTCCACTTTGATTTTTTATTCTCGCAAAAATAAAACGATTTACTGTTAAGTAGACTACTGCATTAGTGTAGAAATGGTATAAATAATATCGGCGCACTTATGAAAGAATATTAGACTCGCCAGTTGACGTGTGTTGGACGCTTGGCATGATTTATTTACTTTTGAACTTTGGTAAAAATCAAACCTTTCTGCTACCTTGAGCTCAATTTCAAGGTATTTTTCATTGTAAAACCAATCAAAATCATCTCAATTTCTGTAATATGTCTTCCATTCTATACAATGAGACCAGGAAAACTAGAATACAACAATAAATACCTGGAGTTTACCTGGAGAGAGTTCCGGGGGTCAACGCCCCCGCGGCCCGGTCTAAGACCAGGCCGCCTGGTGGATCAGAGCCTGATCAACCAGGCTGTTACTGCTGGCTGCACGCAAACCAACGTACAAGCCACAGCCCGGCTGGTCAGGAACCGACTTTAGGTGCTTGTCCAGTGCCAGCTTGAAGACTGCCGGGGGTCTGTTGGTAATCCCCCTTATGTATGCTGGGAGGCAGTTGAACAGTCTCGGGCCCCTGACACTTATTGTATGGTCTCTTAACGTGCTAGTGACACGCCTGCTTTTCATTGGGGGGACGTTGCATCGTCTGCCAAGTCTTTTGCTTTCGTAGTGAGTGATTTTCGTGTGCAAGTTCGGTACTAGTCCCTCTAGGATTTTCCAGATGTATGTAATCATGTATCTCTCCCGCCTGCGTTCCAAGGAATACAGGTTTATTAACCTCAAGCGCTTCCAGTAATTGAGGTGTTTTATCTCCGTTATGCGCGCCGTGAAGGTTCTCTGTACATTTTCTAGGTCAGCAATTTCACCATACAAAAATACAGTGCAAAGTCGCTGTTTTAAACCAAAAACACAAAGTTTTTTTTTTTTCTCATTATGCACTGTGTGCTGCAGGATTTTTTTTATACTGCGCACACTGACCACATAGACCCATTCTTTCATATATAGGCCTACCAGCTTTCTCTTGCTAGATTTGAGGGCACTAGAATTTATGTGTACTAGTACGTCAAAAACCCTGGCGCGTAAGCTGTACTAGTACGGCTGAACCCCGAAAAGTTAATGAAAATACGTCTCAGTTTTTTAATAGCAGTGTGCTGCAGCTTGTTTAGGAGCACACATTACCAATGAGTATTTTATATCTAGGCCAAATTACCGTCACAGCTTATCAGAGTGAGCTGAGCTCATGGCGTACATCTACGGTTTGGACCCTCAGTGTAAAACAGTAGATCTACGGCACGGACCTGAAAGGGTTAAAGTTACTGCCGCCCCACCCCCCACTACTCATTTTTTTTTTCAAAAGTCTGGCGCTCCCACCGAGAGTGTGACCCAAAAAAGAAGGAAAATCCCCAAAAAGAAAATACTTTCATCATCATTCAACACTTTCACCACACTCGCACATTATCACTGTTTTTGCAGAGGTGCTCAGAATACAACAGTCTAGAAGCATACACATATAAAGATACACAACATATCCCTCCAAACTCATACCTGCACTATTCCACCTTTCTGCCAGTAGTTGTTTATATCTCGCCCTAACTTCCTCCTCCCTTAGTTTATACACCTTCACCTCTCTCTTACTTGCTGTTGCCATTTTTCTTTTGTCCCTTCTACCTCTTACTCTAACTGTAGCTACAACTGAATACATGTATATTTTTATATATTTATTTATTTAATTTATATATTTATTTAACCTAGGATAAGTCAAACTTTGTACACAGTTTCCAACCTGGCATAGTTAATTTTGGCAAAATAATTTTTTTTTTTTTGTACGTTTCAAGACCTTAACCCAATTTTTGTCATTAGTTATTTATTCCACATATTGCATTTTCACTAAATACAGTGTCTCGCTCATACTCCTACCAATCATTATTTAAACTTTGTTTTCTTCTCATCACTTTTCTCTTTTCTATGCTTGCTTTTAATTTCCTTCTTTTAAACACTCCACCAAACTACCCTCCAACCCTTGCAACTTGCCTTTGGAATCTCCCAAAAGAAGTATTCTTGGCAAAGAATAATTGACAATTCCCATTTCATATCAGACTATCTTTATATCCTACACTTCTCCCCAACACCACTATGTATATATTGAACCACTATGGTGACAATACACATCCCTGTCCTGGTCCTACTTTTTTCCTTTAACCCTTAAACTGTCCACACTTAGATCTACATTCACGCGCAGGGGGCTCTGAACATAGATCAACGTTTTACTTTTCATAACTTCAAATTTGGTGCGATAGGCCTGAGTCACCTAGACAAAAAAGAATGGGTCTGTGCACTCAGTGTGAACAGTATGGAAAAAAAATCGGGGACTACTTAGTACCTTGTGGGAGCACCAGTTCAATTGAGCGCCATGTAGAGCAGATAGCCTGGCAAACACCAGGGATTCACTGATGTCATGTCAAATTAACACTCACATTTTAAAAGGAAAGTAAAAATAGGTTAGATAAATGCATGAGTGGGTGTGAGTTAGGCCTGACTAGCTTGTGCTACTAGGTCAGATGTCATGCTCCTTCCTTCAGTGGCTGTGACCTGACTTGGTGGGTCATTGGTCTAAGCAGGGGGGGTGACATGGACCTGCCTTGCATGGGCCAGTAGGCCTGTTGCAGTGTTCCTTCTTTCTTATGTTCTAATGTATTCGACTAGTTTTGGTTGTTTCTGTATTTGTCTGTCTATATCTCTGTCTCTCTCTCTCTCACATGTACTCATAAGTACAGTTATTATACATAATGTAAATTACTTAGGATAACCCAAAAATTCCAGGCCAAGTGCTATACAGTGTTTGTAGATATAAGACATAAATAAACATGCCCACACACGGAAGACAGAAAGACAGATGAGCAGAGCTATGCAGAGACAGATACAGACAGAGATGTACAGACAGGCAGACAGATAGGCAGACAGATAGACAGGCAGACAGACTGACAGACACAGACATACAGAGACATGTTTGTGTGCAAGAGTAAAAACATATAAAGGCAAGGTTCCCTCCAGCGCACATTCATCAAATGTCACTTGTTATCTGACGCTTGTCATAACACCATTCTTCAAGATAAGCTGAGCTAGACAGACAGATAAGTGGAGCTAGGCAGACAGACAGATGTACAGACAGACAGATACAGGCAGACAGATAGGCAGACTGACAGATATACAAAGACATGTTTGTGTGCAAGAGTAAAAACATATAAAGGCAATAACACCATTCTTCAAGGAGTTTCATACTCCCTGTCTAAAACACTGCTGGGACCTATAAATACTTTGTATATATTTCTAGACAATAGTCAGTGACTTAAGGCAAGTGAAAATATTCACCCGTCAGTGTGATTGTTGCTATTTGAGTACTATTTCAGTACATAATATTAGTGTCAGAACAAAGATTGGCTATGAAATCACAAGAACTATTATAAATTGTAATTATCAGAACATAAAAATTATATAAACTAAAATAAAAACAAGGAAAAAAGGTAAATAGGCAACACTTCTGCATGCGGCAGGACTGGATGTTGCCGTCAGGTGAGCATCCAGAGCCAACTTCATAGTCTTATATCTCAGTAAGTACTGGTCCTAAAAATTTTTTTTGGTCTTATGCCACAAAGAAAATTTCCCTCTTTAATTTAAAAAAAAAAAAAATTATTTTTCAAAATCGGAGCGCCACGCAGGTGAACGTAGATCTACGTTTGGACAGTTTAAGAGTTAACATTGATAGTCTTCCACTGAGGACAGGTCACCCCACACCCTAGAAAAAGAATAAACACTCATCATTACTCACTCCATTGCTGTCTTGCTAGAGGCATGCTGATAATCCAGTTCCAAAACTGCAAAATATCCCCACGTTTCCTTCAGAGTGCAGGCATCTCTAGGACTCAGGTCTGGCTAACCAGTATCCCTGAATCCCTTCATTAATGTTACTTTGCTTACATTCCAACAGCACATCGTCATAAAAACCACTTACCTCCACTCACTCTTATCTAACAGTCACATACACTTGCTGGATGTCTAAGCCCCTTGTACCCAAAACCTCCTTCACCCTCTTCCTTCAACCTTTCCTAAGACAACCCTTACCCTGCCTTCCCTGTACAGATTTATACACCAAGTCTTCCTAATTAATCTTATTATTGTTGGAAAATAGTCCCCTTCTCTCCTACAAATGCCAAAGTTTTTAAATTTCCTTTGTCATTATCTTCTTGTAAAAATGAGTTGTGTAATTTTATAGTGGTTAATAAATATTTCTCCAGCTTTCCTTAATACATTATTCCTTTTTATAAGGTTTTTGGTAAGTGTTGACAATCTTAATTTATTTTATCGTGTTTAAAGCCTAACAAGTAATTTTATATAATTTGTGTAATGGAATTTTCAGTGTTGATAGTTTTAGAATATGTGAAGTGACTGTGTATTTTGCTACAGGTTGCAGAGCGGGCACTCTATTTCTGGAACAACGAGTACATCATGAGCCTAATAGAGGAAAATTCTAATGTGATCCTTCCTATAATGTTTCCAGCACTCTACAGAATTAGCAAGGTTGGTAGATTCTGAGCTTTTGTCTGAGTATTGTTCTTGGTCTACCTTATAAATTAATAAGAAATTATTCCTCCCCTCCCCCTCCCTCATCTGTGCATTCACTCCAGAATACCTGTGTAAAACCTTTGGCTCTATCCCTGGTGCCAAGTTCCTTGTCTGAGCTCTCCTCTCACTGACACATCTCATTTCTAACTCAAAAAATCTTCCAGTAGGGTAAAGGATTGCTAAGGACACATCCCTTTATGCATACTGCAGGATTACAGGTGTAGTGTTGAGTGGGAAGAACATTAGTATAGGTCATTTGTAGTGATTATTTGTTAGCAATGTGAAGATGGACATGTTTTAAACCTTTTATTGTAATATGGCTCATTTAATGTAGTACTTTTAAGGGTTTCCAGCAATGTACAAGTTTTGTAAGAGAAAGGGTCTCCAGCAATGTACAAGTTTTGTAAGGGAAGGGTTTCCAGCAATGTACAAGTTTTGTAAGGGAAAGGGTCTCCAGCAATGTACAAGTTTTGTAAGGAAAGGGTTTCCAGCAATGTACAAGTTTTGTAAGGAAAGGGTCTCCAGCAATGTACAAGTTTTGTAAGGGAAAGGGTCTCCAGCAATGTACAAGTTTTGTAAGAGAAAGGGTCTCCAGCAATGTACAAGTTTTGTAAGAGAAAAGGTCTCCAGCAATGTACAAGTTTTGTAAGAGAAAGGGTTTCCAGCAATGTACAAGTTTTGTAAGGGAAAGGGTTTCCAGCAATGTACAAGTTTTGTAAGGGAAAGGGTCTCCAGCAATGTACAAGTTTTGTAAGGGAAAGGGTCTCCAGCAATGTACAAGTTTTGTAAGAGAAAGGGTCTCCAGCAATGTACAAGTTTTGTAAGAGAAAGGGTTTCCACATGTATGGGCATTGTAGACTTCCCTGCTATGAAAATATGGGGAATTGTCCTTAAATATTTTTGAAAAAAAAAAAAATAATAATATAAAAGGAATTGGTAGATGCAATGATTCTATATCTTTATTAATAACAATGAAAAGGGGAAAAATTGCTATATTTTATTTTTTTATTAACACATCGGCCGATTCCCACCAAGGTAGGGTGGCCCGAAAAAGAAAACTTTCATCATCATTCACTCCATCACTGTCTTGCCAGAGGGGTGCTTTACACTACAGTTATAAAACTGCAACATTAACACCCCTCCTTCAGAGTGTAGACACTGTACTTCCCATCTCCAGGACTCAAGTCCGGCCTGCCGGTTTCCCTGAATCCCTTTATAAATGTTACTTTGCTCACCCTCTAACAGCACGTCGAGTATTAAAAACCATTTGTCTCCATTCACTCCTATCAAATACGCTCGTGCAAGCTTGCTGGAAGTCCAAGCCCCTCGCACACAAAACCTTCTTTACCCCCTCCCTCCAACCTTTCCTAGGCTGACCCCTACCCCGCTTTCCCTCCACTACAGATTTATACACTCTCGAAGTCATTCTGTTTTTTTCCATTCTCTTTACATGTCCGAACCACCTCAACAACCCCTCCTCAGCCCTCTGGATAATAGTTTTGGTAATCTCACACCTCCTAATTTCCGAACTACGAATTCTCTGCATTATATTCACACCACACATTGCCCTCAGACATGACATCTCCACTGCCTCCAGCCTTCTCCTCATTGCAACATTCATCACCCATGCTTCACACCCATACAAGAGTGTTGGTACAACTATGCTCTCATACATTCCCCTTTTTGCTTCCACGGACAAAGTTCTTTGTCTCCACAGACTCCTAAGTGCACCACTCACCCTTTTCTCCTCATCAATTCTGTGATTCACCGCATTCTTCATAGACCCATCCGCTGACACGTCCACTCCTAAATATATGAATACATTCAACTCCTCCATACTCTCTCCCTCCAATCTTATATCCAGTCTTTCGTCACCTTTTTGTTATCCTCATAACCTTACTCTTTCCTATATTCACTTTTAATTTTCTTCTTTTACATACCCTACCAAATTCATGCACCAACCTCTGCAACTTCTCTTCAGAATCTCCCAAAAGCACAATGTCATCAGCAAAGAGCAACTGTGACAACTCCCACTTTGTGTTTGATTCATTATTTTTTAGCTCCACACCTCTTGCCAAGACCCTAGCATTCACTTTTCTTACAACCCCATCTATAAATATATTGAACAACCACAGTGACATCACACATCCTTGTCTAAGGCCTACTTTTACTGGGAAATAATCTCCCTCTCTCCTTCATACTCTAATCTGAGCCTCACTATCCTCATAAAAACTCTTCACTGCTTTCAGTAACCTACCTCCTATACCATACACCTGCAACATCTGCCACATTGCCTCCTATCCACCCTGTCATATGCCTTTTCTAAATCCATAAATGCCACAAAAACCTCTTTACCCTTATCTAAATACTGTTCACCTATATGTTTCACTGTAAACACCTGGTCCACACACCCCCTACCTTTCCTAAAGCCTCCTTGTTCATCTGCTATCTTACTCTCTGTCTTACTCTTAATTCTTTCAATAAT